GAAAGGTGCTGAGGTCTACCCCAGACTAAATCTGAATCTCTGGGGGCAGGGCTCTGAAATCTCAATCTCTCTCTTACTTTTTTGAAGTTTCCCACATGAGAGTGATGCACAGTGAAGTTTGAGAACCTAAGGCAAGAAGTCAACAGCGCATTTAATGAAAAGGTTGAAGTAAAGGTGTAGGGGGATTTTAATGGAGTAAGCCCTAGTCACTACAGAAATGCAGAACATCGGGGTCAGGGTGCACAGGAGGTGACAGATGACTTCTCTTTCTTTAAAATGTAGTGGGGGGGCTTCCCTGGTGGCACAGTGGTTGAGAGTCCGCCTGCCGATGCAGGGGACGCGGGTCTGTGCCCCCGTCTGGGAGGATCCCACATGCCATGGAGCGGCTGGGCCCGTGAGCCATGGCCGCTGAGCCTGCACGTCTGGAGCCTGTGCTCTGCGACGGGAGAGGCCACAGCGGTGAGAGGCCCGCGTACCACAAAAAAAAAAAAAAAAAAAAAAAATGTAGAGGGATGGGGAAAGATGTCAGGATGAGAGATTCTGGAGAGATTAGCTGGCCCCTGGAGTTACAGCCAGAACCATGAGCAGGCAGAGGGTCCCAGTGCCAAACACCATTTGTAATCTGTGGTCTAGTCAGCAATTTGTGGCCTTCATTCTAGGTTCCAATAGAATATGGTTGATACACTTAGAAAGTGGTACTCGTTTGTTCTTCTGCTCTCTGCAAATATCAACCCAGAGGTGATCAGGCCGCGTCTTATGAGCCCAAGATTCAGGTCAGGATGAGTCTTAGTATAAACAGCCACTGCTCACAGAATTTTCTGGGGGAGATACAGATATTTTAGTATTCCTTAAAAGAAAAAAAAAGAAAAAAGTTCTCAGCTAGTCTCCATTCAGTCACTAACTATTTACTGAAGACTAACAGCTCAAACCTATTGAGGTTTTCTTTTAATGCTACTGAGTAATAAATAGTGTAGCTATTAAGAGCTTAGGTTCTGTAGACACAACTGAGACCTAGGTTCAACTCCTGGCTCTGACACCTGCCAGCTGTGTAATCATCTTGGATATGTGGTTTAACTTCACTGAGTCTTACGTTCCTCATCTGTAAAACAATAATAATACAATAATAATGCCTGCCTTATAAGATTGTGGTGGAGATTAAATGAGATAACCCTAGAAGGACTTTGCACATGGTGAATATTCCATAGATGATAGTGATTACGTGTGCAGACATAAGCCAGGTGCTAGGGAATGTGAGAACGAATAAGATACAGTCTCTGCTGTCAAATATCTCAGATTTTAGCTAGAGAGATAGGTATGTAAAGAAGAAATGACAATTCAGTGTTAATAAGGGCCAAACTCAGAGTACACACTGGGTAGCTCTCTGGGAGCATGAAGAGAAGGGCATTCAACTTTGTCTGCAGAGGGAAGACAGGAAAAGACTTGCCAATGGAGAGGAAACACAAGAGTGAGTCTTCAAGAAAAAGGACTGGGGCTTCGCTGGTGGCGCGGTGGTTGAGAGTCCGCCTGACGATGCAGGGGACACGGGTTCGTGCCCCGGTCCAGGAAGATCCCACATGCCGCGGAGCGGCTGGGCCCCTGAGCCATGGCCGCTGAGCCTGCGCTTCCGGAGCCTGTGCTCCGCAACGGGAGAGGCCACAGCAGTGAGAGGCCCGCGTACTGCAAAAAAAAAAAAAAAAAAAGACTAATGGGTGCAGATGTGGGGCGTTAAGAAGTAAGACTTCCCAGGCCTCCGTGTAACGTAGAGAAAAGCTTGGCAGTTGAGGGAGCATGAAATGGGTATGGAACAGCGGGGGCCATAGCAAGAATAGATAGTAGAGAGGTACGCTGGGGGCAGATTAAGCAGGCCCTTGGCTAGCACGCTAAGGAGCATATGAACTCTGAACTTCTGGATAATGGGGAGCCGTTGAAGGATCTTACCGGCAGGGAGGCGGGGAAAAGATTACTCTGGCTGGCCACAGATGAATTGCAGGGGGCAAAATTGGAGGTAGTAAGACCAGGTGAAAAATGCCAGTGCCTTGGACTAAGATGATGGTTTGTGGAGATGAAAGGAAGAAGATGCATCCAAAGTGAGTTTGGGGAATGGAACGTGATGACTGATTAAGGTAGAATTAAAGTGGGAGTTGAAGAAATTTATGATTTGGGCAGTTGGGCAAAAGGGCTGAAATAATCAAAAGCCAGAGTACGCGTGCGCCTAAGGCCCAGCACATCGGGGCACCCAAAATGTGAAAACATTTTGATTTGGGATATAGAGTAGTTTTTTAAAAGACTTTTAAGTTAATCATCATAGGAACATCAGAACTTTGGGGGCTTCCTTCCCTTTTTATGCTTTAGTATTGCTTTTATTTGAGAGAGGAGGTCGTAATCTTTTCATTGCTTAGAGCCTCCCAGAGGAGGAGTCCAAGGCCTTAATCCTTCTCTGATCTGTGTGCTGAGTGCTTATCATTTCACCGAGAACATGGACACTGAAGGAGGAGCGAGTTTGGGCTTCCTGCCTCTCTTTACGCTTCGTCCTACGTGAAGAGAATGGCATAATTAGGCTGGTAAGGGACTGGCAACCAGATGGCCTTAGGGAGACCCCATAGGCTGATTCACACATCTCAGCTGAAGTGGAGTGTTTCCGTCTAAGTCAACAGGCTTCAATTGTGCAGCCATTGCTAATGGAGAAGTAGGGAGAGGCTGTTTGCTGGCAAGAGAGGTCATGGATGCAAGATGATACAATGATTAGAGATGGAGACTAAGCTGGGGCTTCTTAACCTAGAGCCCAGAGGAAATTTGAACCTCTGAAGTTATATGCAAACTTGTGTATATGTGTGTATAGTGCAACTTTATAGACAGAAGTACCACAGCTTTCTTCAGATTTTTCAGAGTGATCTTTGACACCAAAAAGGCCACCAACCACCAGAGTACATTTACTGTGAAGTGAATAAAGCTGCTTATTCAGAGTTTCTCACTTGCCTGGGACTCTTCCAAGGCTCTAGAAGAAGCCCTAGCAATTTTGTATTGTTTTTACCTAAAGGGAGCTTCCCTCTCAAATTACATAAAGTCTTTGGTCCCACAGAATCTGTATCTACCCCTGCCAACCGCAGATTAGGGAATTACCCAACATGAGTTAGTATCTGGGAGCGAATGCCATCCAAGAGAAATGAATGCCAAAGACTGCACCAGGAAAGGCAGAAGAAAGGATGCCCATCAAATGAAGAATGGTCACTGAGGGAGGAGGAAAATCAGACCACGTTGTCAAGGAAGTATAGAGAGAGGTGGTTAGCCATGTCCAACATGGATGGGAGATCAGGAAAGAGGAAAATAAGAAAACGATTAATTACAGGAGTGGCTGGGACATCTTCAGTGAAGTGGCAAGAACAGAAAGCTGATTGTTCTGTTTGCCTTTCTGGACAAGTAAAAGTGGTAGGTGAATGAGTATAAATGGTAGCTACAGTCCATAAACATGCAGGGGAAGTAAAAGTACCTACCCCAAACTCTAATGTTCAGTTAAAATGATAGTCAATAAAGTAGGCTCACTGTAAATGTGCAATCCATGCTGAACTGAAGTTAGATGGCATATATATACTTTTCAAAATGAGTCCTAAATGTGTTCCATGGCCAGGCAAAGACTTTGAGTGACTCTTGTCCCCCCCTCAACCCCAACCTTTCTTTCTTAATCCTGTATCTTAATCCTCTTACTACCTGAATTTCCATATTTCTGTCTCATCTCTCTGTCCTCTGGCTGGCGGATATGGAACAGTGAGAGAGAGCAGAAAGTGAAAAGAAGCCATACGGATGACATTTGAACATGAAATGTTTTGAATTTAGAATTTGTCCTGGGTAACCCCCAAAACCAGTGATCCATTACGGTTAATTAAATGTTGTCTGAAATTGAGTCCAAGGAAACATCTATTTGAACCAGAATGTTCTAAATTTGCCACCCTGGCAACTCTAAAGTTGATTGGTTTCAATTGGGCAAAACTGGTTCACACTGACTTACCCAGTATTAGGGTGAGTATTATTTTTTTGACTGTGAAATGCAGCCATATCAGAGATACATGCTCAAATTTGCTGCTCTGTCTATTATGGAAGCTAGTAAATGCCATTTTGCAATGCTTCCATAATAACTTCCTCCTGGGATCTCTTTTGAGATAGACTAATTTCATTACAGTTCCCAACTTAATTTCTTCAGTGATTATACCTTTAAAGGCTTTTGATTTGTTAACTATTGATGTATTTCTTCATAATTGTGTCACTGTGAATAATCTGTTACTTGAGAACAATGATTTTGAATGGCTACTATGACAAAATTTATAGGGACATGGAAAAATAGCTACAAACTAAAATGACTAAACCAAGGAATTGGTTTGAGGTTTCTAAGAACTCAATAAAATTAATTCAGTAAAAACAATTTGTGTTTTGTTTTTTACTAGCAAAGTTATTGCTTTGCAATAGTATTCTCATTGAAAGAAGGCCAAGAGCCCATTAAGCTACTCTTCATAATGTAAACGTGTAAATTAAAGTTCTAGTTACTTGATATTTAGCTATGGTTTAAAATAGAAACAATTCATAACACTTTTATAGATAGCTTAAGCACTTTTCTATTCTTTCTTTCTAATAGTAAGGCTTAGCTTGACTTGAGTCTAATGAATTTCTTCTACAGTATGTGGTATTTGATCCAACAAGACCAGTTAAACACAATATACCTAGATACCTGCTGATTACATCATTCGACTGGTAAAGGACATAAATCAGTTTGACTGCAAGTTTTGTTTGAATTGGATTTGGAAATTTGTAAATTATTTGGACATAGCATTTTGTCAAACTCTCAGCCATTTATTTAGATAAAATTATAAATTCTGGAGTTAAATATTGTTATAATTGTGTTGGACTCAATTGTCTTTCAACTTTGTAATTATTTTGATGAACCTAATTGTACAGCTTATGGATGCCAAAACTGTATCCCAAATAAATACATGTTAACATTTTGCCTTTAGCCAATAAGAAGAAAGAGAAAGAACGCCCAGAGATCTCTCTTCCTTCAGACTTTGAACATACGATTCATGTGGGGTTTGATGCAGTCACCGGGGAATTCACTGTAAGTAAGCTCCTTATTTTGTTTTGTAAGGCATGAAAAGATGCCTTTGTGAAAATAGGTTTGAAGGAAGAATTGCCACGTCCCAAAACGTCAGACTTGATGTCTTTGGTGATTTCAAGGAAGATGGACTTTGCCTAGACAATCACAGATGGAACTAGAGAGTGGCAAGAGTATTGGCAAAATTATTTTGTCCATCTTAACAAAAACGTCTGATCGCGGTTAGCCTTCAACATGATTGAAAATGCTAATTTACCATGGCACAGGAGATGTAGTCCAGATAGACTCAGCTTGAGCCTATTCTTTATCACTTGAAGTGAATCAGAGAACCATTGACTCAACTTGGCCAGTGAAGGCAGTCTATCTGAATAATTCAGGCTTTACAATGGAACCTGGATTACCCAGATAAGTTAACCACACTAACCAAATATCTCTGTAAAATTGACCTTTTCTTCTCTTTGATTTCAAGAACATTTCAAGCTTATTTTTAGGCTTATTTACAGGTATATTTTGTAGACATTCAAAACAACAGACCCCATGTTTCAAGAAGAAATATTGATGGCTATATCGTATGCTTTAGTGGTTATATGCTTACTTTATATTTGTACATATGTGTGTGTGTATATATATATATATATACACATATGTGCAAATATATATACATAATGCACAGTAAATACCAGTAAGAATTCTCCAGAAAGACTATAGCTATAGATCCAGTCTTTCCTTGGATATTTTTAGTGCTCAAATAGTACACGATCTCAGATCTATGATATTTTATACCTTTTTTTTTTTTTAAAGATCTGGCATCTTTCTTTTAGATGGATGAAGGAAAAGATGTGGCTAGAAACATGTCCTCAGGAAGATTAACTACTTTTTTATACTAGTAAGGACCTCAATCAAAATGTGCATTCTGAGATAATGAGTAATTTTCAATGCATTCTGGAAAAAAATTCTTTGATAGAACCATCACTGTTAATTCTTGGATTCTTAAACCAGAGAGAAAGTTAGGTATTAAATAATTAAATTTCCTATTTCGTAACATGATGGTTAGTGAGTAGACTGTGTCATAAGATTAAATTTTAAAAAAGAAGGAGCAAATTAATTTGATTTGGAGAATCAAACCATGTTTCTGAGCTGACAAATTACCTTCTTTTTTCAATTCCGGAAATAAGCAGTGTGAGAATGAAATGGAAACTGACTAAACATCTTAGCCTTGTAAAGTGATGTGAGCTGATTGTATGTTCTCAGTAGCAAGCAGAAGAGAATGTTAAGAAGTGCTGACACTGATAAAGTTGAGATACTGGTTTAGCCAATTTCATCGTTGGAGTCAGAGATATTATTCAAATGGCCTTGAGTTTGAGCCCAGCCTCTGTTCTTTGCTGTATCTGAGAATATTCTGTTAGCTACACTTAGAAAATATAACCTCACTGTCACCACTACCACCACCATCATCACCACCCAAAACAAAAAATATTTATATATATTTTTATAATCTGGACAAGTCTAGATTTTTAAAAAATCATAAACAAAGAGATGACTATTTTTTCTGATGTTTGAAAGAGTAAAAGCACTGAATCATTATAAGTTTTATCTTAAAAATCTTCCCTTTCTTATTTTCAGAACTGTCTTTCCAGTTTTGACCTTTTTGTTTTCCATGTGCTTTTCTTCTGTTTAATCTTTTCTTCTGTTTTATTGTTGTCATTCCATATTTCTCTGTTCTTTTATTCTTCCTTTTTGTTTTCTGATGTGAAAATTTTCCCCTCCGCTATTCTCATGTGATATTCTGGTTCCTTTCCAATTTTTAAATTTTTTCCACTCTTTCCTACTTGCTTGACATCTTCTGATAGAATTTCTCTATCTTTAGCTTTTCCTTTGTTCTTTATGGGTTCTGAATGGAAATGAAGGAAAGTGAATCACCATCATCTTGCTGACTGGGGACCATCCATTTTCACTTTGCTGTCAGTTAGAACCCCAAGAATCAACCAGAGAGGGGTGGGGTGGGATGTGTGATGGGCAGTCTTTCCAGTTGTGAAAAACATTTTGATGCAACTGAACCAAACCAAACAAGAACCTTTCCCCTCCTCCCAAAAACCGAATTTAAAATAAAGTGTTTGGATGCAATTGTTAGAAATCCACTGAATATATAGATGAGACACAGGCTAAATTTGGAAATCTGATGTACTTTATTGTCACTGTGATAATCTTTTGTAACTATTTGTCCCCACGTTGTTTTTTAAAGATACCAAATTCTGCCTTTTTTTTTTTTTTACTATCTTAACCTATGATTTATATTTACTAACTTTAAAAATACCAAATGATAATAAGCTTTTAAAAGTCATTTTATTGGTAGGATTTAGAATGGGGTCTTAATCGCCCCAGTACCACTAATTGATTGATTGTGTGTGTGTGTATGTGTATGCGTGTGTTCACGTGGAGGGGGAGGGACATATTACTAAATTTGATCATTACAGTTGTTGAGGTTGAATTTTGAGCAATTTGTTGAACTGTCGAATCCAGTTGTCTCACAAGGGCCTGTTATTTGGAATATTTGGACACTGGTTTGGTGTATTGCTTGGTGCTTACCCTTTGGCTAATTGGCCCATAAAACCTTGTACACTTAGTCACACACTTGGACCCTGAGGTTAAAATTAGGTTGGGAGGTGAGGTTTTGGGTACGAAACTATTATAAGTCCTTACCCTTTATATTACCATTTTTGTCCCAAATACTTCAGAACTCCCCCTTCCAGACCTCTAGACCTGTGACGGTCGCTTCAAGTCAATCAGAGGGAAAAATGGTATGAGTGATATACATTATCATTTCTTATGATAAGATAAATGCTTGGCCTGTTGTATCATGCTGCCATTCTCCTGGGCTACACTGGACAATCCCCAGCTTGATGTACATCTAGCTGTTATTACATACATGGTCAGGCTTCTGATGCTCACACTTCTAGGTCTCCATTAGCTATCTGACTTTTGGGGTTTGTACCTCAATTTGGAGTAATGAGTTATGGCTTTCTGATTACATGCCTCTATGGCATACATTCAAATTTAAGTGTCAGGTTTCATTGATAAACTGGTTTATCTCAACTTAAAAAAGGAAAAAAATTATGTCAGCAGTGTAGTCACGTGGTAAGTATAGTTGTCTGGAGGATCTTTTGCAATTGACAGCAGTTTTTCCTGCTGTCTAGTGATCACAAGACTATTATCACAAAAGTTTAGAAGTGCCATGAGTATGTATAATAACTGCAAATATTCTAATGATTATGGTAATGATCATGCCAGTGATGTCTGCTCTGGTGGTTATGTGCAATGCATACCTGGTTTTGTAACACTTAATAACTCCTTTGGCCATTACAGTATTAACCAAATGCTATTAATTGCACTTAGAATCAGAACTGGGATCATGCATGGGCTCCTGAGTTCAAATTTTTGGCTTAAGGCTTTAGCATCAAATTGCGTGATGAATGCATGTAAAAGTGTCCTTTCACTGTGCTTGGAGTAACCCCAAATGCCAGGAATCAAAGACCTGTAACCCAAATCAAATCAGTTGGGTAAAAGCATGTTTCTGTAGCATTGGAAATATCATCTTTATTTAGACAAAGATGTTACCTTATATCTGATCTTATGTTGTGGGAAGTGGGACTTTAGAACTGTGGCATTAAAATGGAGATTATTCATAATATGGTTTGAAACGAAATGGTTTCCCTTTCCCTGGTCTAAATGTCTAAGAAATTCAAACATAGAGTCTGGCTGTGTGGGAAATCCTTAATCTAGTTTTCTCTAAGCCAGCCACGACTTTAGCTCCAAAATACAGAAGAATCACCTTAATGAGAACAGGTTAAATTCAGCATCACCATATACCTCTTCTTTGAATTTTAGCCAGACAGACACTTCCAATGTGAAATTGAAAATGGTTTACCAGAATTGGGAACTGAAATTTGTAAGTTCATCACGTGGCCATTGGCTACCTGTGATCACCCAGTCGTAAAATCAACTTACAAATTATTGTTGAAGCTTTTCATGATGCCACCCTTCTTCCCTCCAGATTCATGTTTCTGCCTTTTAGTAATTTCTCCACTCATTTAACGGTAATCCTTATTATTGCATATTTATGGAGGAAGCATCTGGCCAAAAGTGGAACTATGCATCCAAACTTTGGAACATTATTGTTTTCTCTGTTTCCTTAAATCTGTTGTCCTGTAGCCTGTCCTGCCCCTGATTTAGTTAATACCTCCCTATTTTCATAACCGCCCCACTTTAGAAGGGATTAACCCCTCCCCATTCAGACCCATTGGATTCATCTCCTCCCACCTTCTAAGTTGTCCCACATTCTGTTTTAACTTTCTTTTCTTTCTTTATTTACGTCCATTACAGCCAGATCTCTATGGCTCACAGATGTGCCCAGGGAAGCTCCCAGAGGTGCGTCACAGGCCCAAAAGAAGCTTGCATCAAAGTGCTTCTTTGAGATGTCATAGCACTGCAGCAGCAGGTTCATGTGTGTGCAGTAGAGTTGTTGCTTGGCTTATCTCACTTTTTTGTTGTCATTCCCAAACTCTGGAGGCCCACGTCACACATTGTTTTGCCGAGACTTCACAGGACAAAGCCACGTAAATTGTGTCTAGATGCACTTCAGGAAGAGTGTGTCTGTTTCTCGCTCCAAGTTCTCTTGGAGGTTGGTTAATTATGAAATGGGGACATCTGTAGGCCGAACATGTAGGAAAGAATGCTGAACGCTCAATACAAAGCTAACCTCTCTGTGTAATTTTTGCAATTCTCCTTGGTTAGATTGCCAAACACTCCCTCCTCTCTGCTCTAAATGCTTCAGTATTATTGCAAATTTTCAGAAGGTTTTGGCATGGTTGCCTCTGTCCCCAGGTTCTATGTGGCCAATGAACGAAGTGGGGAGGAGGGGATGGGGGGGGAGAGGAGAAAGCTGCAGGGAAAATGTTACTATTTAGCACCCCTGTGGTTATTGCTCATCCATGATTCTATTTTTGTCTCCTCTCAATCCCCCTTTATATTAAAGCTCTAGACCCCCCCAAAAAAATTACATTTGATAACCACAGAGTATGAACTGACCAAGGGTGAGGCTTTACTTTTATTCTAAAAGATATTCTGATTACAGCATGCCCAGAAACAGCTTATGTTATTCCAGTCGTATAAAATCTATTGATCTGCACTATACTATGCTGTGCACAAATTTAGAGAAGTCTTGCTATGTCTGCCCTGAGTCGCCAGAAAAAATAAGCTAAGCCGTAAACATCATTTCATGGATGAGCAGAGTTAATATGGAGGTGATTTTCATGCGCTTTTTTTTTTTCTATCACAGTCATACTCCCACCCACCCTTTTTAAGTTGGATCTTAGTTTTACCTATGTGTTTGAATTAGAGAAGAGAATGATTGCATTATTAAGTTACTAACTTTAAATCTAGAGTGTAACTTCAGTTTCCCAAGTGTAATCCTACAGGTAGCATGGGCTTCTTGGTGAAGAACTTTACTGGAACGTGAAAATGTAGCTGCTGAATGTTCTGAGCTTCCATTCTTTCCCTTTGGTTGTCCACAGGGAATTCCTGAGCAATGGGCGCGATTACTCCAAACCTCCAACATAACAAAGCTGGAACAGAAGAAGAACCCCCAAGCCGTCCTAGATGTTCTCAAATTCTATGATTCCAAAGAAACAGTCAACAACCAGAAGTACATGAGCTTTACATCAGGAGGTAAGAGTAAATCTAGGATGTCAAAAAGTGAAGAAGTGGGACTTCCCTGGCGACCCAGTGGTTAGGACTCTGCGCTTCCATGGCAGGGGGCCCGGGTTTGATCCCTGGTCGGGAACCAGGATCCCAAAAGCCGCACGGTGCAGCCAAAAAAAAAAAAAAAAAAAAAAAGTAAAGAAGTAATTCCAATCTCAGAACCTCAGGATTAGAACAGAATGCGCCTGGAGGGCATTCGGAGCCAGTTCAAGTTCCTTTTCTGAATGACTTCAACATAAATCAACCAAAAGATGAGTTGGAAGTTGAAGTTGATGTTAGGAGATTTACAGTACTTGGGTGATTTTAGAACTCAAATAAGGAAATTGTTCGGTGAAGCAGTAGTTGTCAGTTTGAATCAGCAAAATCACAATTGTTGTTTTGTCTCTTCACTGGCATGAAGACACTGAGTCACTTAGGATCAGGCCTTGTCATGCGTTTAGGAAGTAAGAGGTGTCTGGATTAAACCCTGGTCTCTTGAAATTTATTTTATCCCTTAGATTCACTGAATTGCATGCACCATGATAACACAGCACAAATTTTGTGGTTGCTGGGTTATTTTGATCTGACCGCAAAATCAGACTTAAAAAAAGAAAGCATGTCTTGGTATTTATAAGAGATTGACACAGCCATGTTCCTGCCATATCTCGACTTCATTTGCTAGCCTGTAGACCCAGCCTTTGTTTGAAGGTTTGATGTCCAAATTTGCACTGTAAGCAACTGAAAAGATATACCAAGCAATTATTTGGCATTGTGAAAAAGATGATCTGGGTTTTGTCTCTAAAACAATTTATTATTTTACATCTAAAGGAAGAAGAGGGGGCTTCCCTGGTGGCGCAGTGGTTGAGAGTCCACCTGCCGATGCAGGGGACGCGGGTTCGTGCCCAGGTCCGGGAAGATCCCACATGCCGCGGAGCGGCTGGGCCCGTGAGCCATGGCTGCTGGGCCCGTGAGCCATGGCCGCTGGGCCTGTGCGTCTGGAGCCTGTGCTCCGCAACGGGAGAGGCCACAACAGTGAGAGGCCCGCGTACC